ATATATATATATATATATATATATATATATATATATATATAGACATAAAAAGCGAGAGATCAGACGTGGAATTACTCCCATAAAGCTAAGTTCTATGAATTGTGAACACTAACCTTGAGGCATTCTCTCAAATCCATCAAATGCACAAATGTGCCTTTGGAAGAGCTGGATGTCGCAACTGCAAGAACCAGACCTTCATTATTAAACGAAATCCACGAGACGGGATCAAGACTGGAGATTTGGATATCCGGGGCATGTTCAGGAAGCGGTTTATCTTTCCGCAGAGAACATGCATTATTTGCTTCGAGGTAACGTCCCACGTTGAAAAGCAAAACAGCTATAGAACAAGTGAATTAGACCGTAATTAAGTAAACTGAGGTCGTCTAGCAATATGACAACTATCGGTTAATTCTATACGCTCAAAAAACATACGGAATCGAATATAGTAAGGCAATGTACACGCTTCCATATCCGGTCCCTGTACTTGTGATTTAGGAATCACAGTGAAATTCATCAAGCATTAGCAGTCAAAAAATTATTTTACGCTATTCAGGTGAATACACCGCAAATGATTGACAGCATCTTCAGTTCAAGTGTGGGTTGGCCCATTCGACGTCAGCACACGAACAACTAAACTCAACAGGTGAACAGCTGTCATGCAATATCTGAGTAATGAATGCTAATATGGATCATGTGCCTGACACATTTTGAAATTCCGATCACTTCTACATTTTTTGTTTTCGAGGAACACGATTAGTTGATAACAGAGTTTTGATGTCATGTGCCTAGTTTTTCATAATCACTGGTGTCGACACCACATACTCACTACATTAAAACTATATACTTCAGAGGGAGGTCTTCAGCCAACATGTTAGTTAAATACAGCCTCCAAAAGTCTCAGTATGGTCGGGGATGGCTGTCACGGGTTGCAGTTGGTCACTCCTTCATTGCATCTAGCGAAATGCTTCCATACGAACAAGCGTCTTAAATAGCTTCTGCTGAAGAAGTCCAAAACTGCCTTCTCGTGGCGGCTTTTCCGCCAAAAGGAGAGAATCGCTGGCAGTTCACTTAGGGCATATATGTATATATATGGTAAGACTGCACTGAAACAAGTCTTAAACTGGACCCCTAGTAGACATTTACAATTCGGACAGGTGTCAGTGATAGACCTTCGCTAGCTTTCTGCTTCTGATAGCGGAGAATATGATCGAACCATTGAAGATGGTGTCGTCGGAGGATAGTCTCTTCAACTTGTCCCACTGTTGATGACAGCGGAGTTAGAAGAGTAGTCATAACACCTGAGTTTAGCCATATAACGGGGCCATCAGTGATAAAACTTCTCAAGATTTTTGTTATATACTCTCATTGGCTTCGTTTTACAAGTCTATATAAGGACGAACTGAATGGCGGCACGGTGAGCGCAAAGTTTTGTGTGGAGGCTTACTTTGCTTCTACCGTTTACTAGACCAAGATAAACAATAAAGTGACAAGTTGCTGCTGGCTCAAATATCATTTTCAGGACTGGGAAATTATGGGATGAGTTTGTGGCTATAATATATACATAACATACATATTCTGTCGGATACAGTTTGGGCTTAGACCAGTGTGAAAAGTCGGATGTAAAAACATACAGAACTTGAGAAGCGATCATATGGAAGAAAGCCAAACAATTTTAGTTAGTCTAAATTTCGACCCACTGTAGAAGTAATGACAGAAGGAAAAGGCAAAATGATTACGATGAGTTGCCCGAATAGTTTCTTTTTAAAATGCTCTTCATATTCAGCCTTATGTTTATTATCATTATAAGTGAAAAGACTTTATCGAAGCTTTCTCAAGAATAGGTGAAATATGCATAAAATACTTGATCACATATATGCAATCGATAATCGAATTACGTTACGAATGCGGGACAAGGGACATAAAGGATGCGAACTACAAGTATCAGCAGTTAATATCTACAATACTAACCATTTTCGGTTGCTGTAGCAATATAACCATTTATGCAACAATCGACGAGCTTCAAACGATCCCATGTTGCCACTTGTCCACATTTTATTTCATGAAGCTGTTTATATGAACTTTCTGACATTAATGATCAATCTGAAAATAAAGAAAACATCAGGAATGTAAGTCAAAATATAAAACCTTCGTAAGTTGGAGGTGCCAACCATACAATATATGTAAGTCAGCTCACATCCGGTTTATCTAACTGTTACCAATGCGCTTTATAACGCCGATCTTTAACGCTATCTTACGGTCACTCCTTGGGACGAAGAGGTAGAGGGAAGATTGGGATGTTGGGAGCAGTGTGATGGCGCAGTGGTTTTGTCGCTATCACCGGCGTGCTTCGGACCCTATGGTCCGAGGTTCGAGCCNTTCGAGCCCCGCCACTGCCACGCGACTTTGGTGGTAGGCAGCTCTGCTGCCATCCGGTTCAATGCCACGCCTAACCTATCGGGGCCTTATGTGGTTCGCCACTCCAAGGCTCGAGGCTTAGGTTGCCGGTTTCCACCACTGAACAGCAAGTCCTCGTGGCTATGGGGTTCACCCCGCCTGCTGTTTATCACATTTAGTGTGTAATAAAAAAATAAAAAAGACTGTTTCGCTAACTAGAGTTCGCCACCCTACCGTATTGCGTATCAGTCGGAACAGTCTTTGACTATTCCCTGATGCGACTGCCACTTCCATTTCGGTAGCTGTTGTTGCCCACCAATTTTCAC